CATCATGTTGCAATTTTATAGCAGGAGGGACTTAGACCCCTGTCAACTGAACATATATTATGAATATGTTTGAGTAAGAATTAACAGAGCAGACCATACTAGTATGCGAAGGTAAACATTATGCATTTGCTTTGCATATGTTACCTTTCTGGTTAATATACTGGAGTTAGACTGTATATTTTGTCAAAAGTTTTGAAGCCCCCCTCCCCGGCCCCAAATCTGTCCTTGACCTAATCCATTCCATATTGTTCAGTTCAAGAGTACGGCCACTCCAGAATTGCTGAAAGACTTTTAAAACCACTGGGAACATGTATTCACTTTAAAACAACAAGTCAAGACAATGTTTTCAAAAAGCCCCCTTGGCAACCACTTCACAGTGTAGTAGAATTGCAACAAGACCAAAATACCACAACAAAAGTCATGAAGGCCGAAACATGGTAAAATGTGCGGGCACAAAAATTTATAACCAAACGACAACATATGTTAGTATTTAAGTGTACGTAAGCAAAAATACAGACGTTTTAATACGAAAAATGAAGATCAACAAGAAATTTTTACAAAAAGACTGAATTGTTTTGCAACTAAAGGCACTGTGTAGTCAGTGGTAACACTAACTCAAATCTTTTATCTACGTCAAGTACTTGTTTTTGTTTTTTGTTCACCAACTAAACATATTGTACTAACCTTGGAGTGCATGTCATTGTATGTTCCAGAAGAGATACATGGCAAGTCATGGTTCCTACATTCGTAGCCAAAAACCTTGTTTACGCACACGGAACTGTAAAGTCAAAAATGTCGCTCAACTAGTCTGCCAATCATGTACTGTTCATGCGGTTATTGACCTTCAATGTACTGTAAGTCTGATTATTGAGGTGGTTTTGTATTTTGCCTTATTTCTAGCCTTGATCATGAAGTTTTCAGTTGTTCACCAATTTAATTTCTTGGTTAACGGATTTTTCTAGAAAAATAATGGAGCGGGCGGGCAAAAAAAAATAAATAAATAAAAACAGACCTAGGCATTCTATAATTGCCCAAAATGGAACGATAGGAGCCATGAAGTCAACACACCAGGCTGGTTCAAAATTCTGCAAAACCACTGCATTGAAAGATGGAATAACAGTTACTGTAACAATTAGGAAGAAAAGGACTGTTTTCAACTGTTCTGGGCAAAATATGAGCATTTTGCAATTGACTCTGAATTTTCATTTTTATTTGAAAATCAGAAAAAATGAATCGGGCGAATCCGTTAACCAAGAGATTAAATTGGTGTGGCCTTAGGAATAATTATAATAATCATATATGTACAGCATTAGATGTCTAAATCTAATGATGTCCATGTTTTTACCCAATATTATACAATTTTCACTTTTTGAACATTCTAAAATTTTGTATCTGAACAGTAAGTTAGAAGACAGATAATGTAATTCACAATTTTCTGCAGTGCTTTATGTTCACATTTTTCATGGTAACTTATACTGTGAACTCATACCATTATAAAAAAAATAGTTTGCCAACTTTCTTTTTCCTGCACCTGCCGCCACCGCTATGTTTTTTAGTCCTATGTTTGTTAGTTTAGTCACCTCCATTTTTTTCATTGTCAGACCGAAAACTTTGGCGACCGCAAACATAAAGTGAGTTACAGTACACGCATCAGGATATCGAATTACCCCAGTATCCAGGCCAAAATTTCCTGCTCCATTTTCTTCCAAGACTAATCTAATCCATTTCTTTTTCAGGTATATCTTTGACCACGTGAAAGAGCATACTTTCTTCTTTCTACTTGTGTACATAAGAAAATGCATTTCAGCTCTGTTTGGCTGTTTTTTACAGTCCTAAAAAACAGCAGTGTTTTTATAGTGTAAAACGATTGTGTTGACAGTAAGGCCACACCATCTTCATTTTATGGATGACATCCACGCGCGCATTGATTTTCGCCTGTTCTCAAAGAAAAACAAGAAGCCATAGGCGACAATTCTCCGTGAAGTATTATATATTGCAACAAAAAGAAGTAGCCATTGGCGGCAATTCTCTGTGAAGTGTGATAAATCGAACAAAGAAAAATTGTTTAAACGCGCGTCGGCTCAGTCATCTTAAGACGCAACAACCAATCAGAGATGCGAGATGCCTACACGTGACGCGGGAAGGGCGCGCGATGCCCGAAATATTTTTGCGTCAATATTCAGCGCCGTGATTCAAGAGATTAATACCCGGAAACAATTTTTTTCTTGTTTTGAACGCATTAACATGCATTTACGCTAATCTAGTATGATTCAGGGTTACTTTTTTTTTAACCTGCCATGGCCAGATTATCTAAAGATGTGTGTATTGTGTGTACAATCTATAGAAAGAGAAATGTACATCAGGTCCGATCATCCGATTTTCACGTTTCGGTTTTTTGGACTCGGTTCATGAACGTATTTTGGTTTGGCTCCTGGAATGTGCGAAAAAAATGACTCCCGGGACTGTCTACAGGGAACACTCGCACATTCGCGGTGTATCAGGACAGCGCGACTGGTCGTCATTAGCGCAGTAACAGTTGCATAAACGGACGAAACCATTTCAAAGAAATGGGGATGTTTCGAAAATAAGCATTTACTCCAATATCAAAACAGCTACGGTAAAAATAAAAAGACGTGCATCATCCCGGACATAATGCAACACCACATGCGAAATTACACAGAAATGCGACGTACGGAAGAATGCGTTTTGGCTGCGAACATCTTCCAAAAAACTTGGCATCTCTTAACCATGGGCAAAAACATCTGGAACCACTTATAAAAACCACCCCGTATCTGCATGAACTTTTTTGAACCCCACTGCTTTTCCAAACAACGCGTTTTTCTGGACCATTCCAATTCGCCTCGTAATTGTAGGGGTGCGTCTGCGATATTACATTGACCGCGAAAGCAGCAACGGCAAAAATACACATTCGTGCATCAACACGGGCATGCCCGCAGACGGCGTATAAAATTGCGTGCCGATTACACAAAGAGAACCCAGTGTTTTGACTGCGAACATGAAAAATCAGCCGATTACAACACTCCGTCCGGAGGTCCTGACCTCCTTCACGGAGTAAAAAGTCCACCGAGGTTCTGGCCTGGCTCTAGGCCTGGGTAGTCCATGGTAGTTTAACTTAGCGACAATACGGAGCCGGGCACCCAGGCTACCGAAGCTCCACGACTCAAGAACTCAGTACATATGTACAGTGACGATTCATATATTCTGCAAAAAGCCAGCATGTGCCGGCCTGTCGTATACGTCGTTATGTACTGCCCAAAATTCACCAGTTTTGTATTCCTGTGGCTAAGTACCATTTTTATTTTTAGCCGGATTTTTTTTTATTCGCCCGTGCACTAGTTTAGGGGTCTTCAGAGGATGTCATCCATAAAATTATAAGTCGGTGTGGCCTAACCAGTGTTGGTAAACAGTCCGTACCTGGTACAATTATGAACAGATGCCCTGAGGGTTTGGCATGCCAACATTCGTGTGCTCCGAAGCCTTGCGGTCAATAATTACCGTAAATTGTACAACAAAAATAGATGTACCCTACTCAAACAAGGGGGCCCGCATGCCCTTTTCCGTAGAGCGTAATCGGCCGTTTTAATTCTACGTAGAGCGTAGACGGACCGCTCTAATTCAACGTAGAGCGTAATTGCCGCATTTTGTGCAGCGTGTATTCGCTGTTTTAATTCTACGTAATGCGTTGTAGCCACTTGGAATTTATCGTAAAGTGTAATTGAGAGCTCTTACAATTTAGCGTAGAGTGTTGTCGGGACCCCCCCCATGCAGGCCCCCAACCGAGAGTACCATTTGCACTGCCCCCTGTCATATTTTTGTGGTTTTGCAGCCTCAAATTTCATGCCTCAAGTTACTGAGTCACAAATATACTATCCAAATCATGCTAATAATTCTTTTAAATCATAAAAGCCATTATTTATGATGCAAAACTCATACGAGCACAAACTTTCAGCAAAACGACTCCACACTTACGCTGACCGTAAATCTTGTTGGACAAAAGAGCTAACATCCGTGACCACATTTTATTTATGCAAAGTCATGATCCCCTTTTCAAGCCATTACACGCCACGTGTGAACGTGTGTACTGTACAACAAGTTCTAAATAGGTCATAATTACATTCTGTCATTCAATCAACTGAACAAAAGTAGCCTCTACCAGGCTTGAGGAGGCGGCTGGAAAGAGTAGAAATCGGCCAAAATAGAGAGATAAGCATACCAAGGGAGTTTTGCCGTTGAGAGAACAGTTTGTGGGGCGGCGAACTGTTTTCTCAACGGCCAAACTCCCTTGGCATGCTTATCTCTCTATTTGGCCGATTTCTACTCTTTCCAGCCGCCTCCTCAAGCCTGGTAGAGGCTAGAACAAAAGGGCTACGCAAGACCGGACTGTTTTTTCATGGAAACAAGGGAAATGGATTGACGTTCACATTCAAATTAGGTTATGGTTGTAGTTAAAAATGTCACTCATGATCAAACGAGGAAACAAAACAGATTTTTTTCTCTTTTCAGGTCTACATGCCCTTTTTCGTAAGGCGTAATCAGGCCTTTTTAGTGTATGTAATCCGTAGGCAGCCTCAAAAAAAACCAAAGCAATTTCGTAATAAAATATAATCCACAAAGTGTAAAGTCGTAATCTGCTCTGTAATCGGTGGCGAAAATTTTGCGTAATTACTACACCCCCCATGCAGGCCCTCTTTTCGATCAAGATTGTGTTTTATAGCTCTATATTTCTAAACACTACAGTGCTTTAAGACTAACAGTTAGACCAAATTGTACTGGTAAAGTTTGATACCACACTGTTACATATGTGTAGTAAGACTTTTCTTCTGAAAAATACTTCCTCAATATCTAATACATGTATACACTTTCATAATCATAATTACCCTTTGAATTCTACTACAAAAAACAAAACAAAAATTAAACTATGCTACCAAAAACAAAACATACTTACAATATATAGTGAAAGTTATTGAAGATATACATACCTTTTAAGATTTGGAAAGTCCTATCCAACCGAATTAGCATCAAGTAAGTTAGTTGCTTGTAAATTTTATAAAACCAGGTAATAAAATCCCAAGTACAGACACAACAAATTTTGCTGACCTGAAATACTTCATAATTATTAACGACATGCGTAGGTCGTCAAGTATGCTGCTTTCCTATTGGCTACTGAGTCCAGACACTGAAAAACAAGGCCTCTTAAACCGGACCTATGATGATAAGAAACGCCGGTATGCCAAATACACCGCACCCAGTCACTCTCACATGACCCACTCCGGTAAGGCAAAGTCCATTAAACTTTGAGTAAACGTCTAAAAGATTTATTTACCTATCACAGGTTACCAGACAGTATCAAAATGGTACAAATGGTTTGGTGGAACAGGTGTTCAATATTGTATGTAAGGCCACACCAATTTAACTTCATTTTTTCTGATGCAATCAAAAAAAAAGATTCTGGTTCTGAATCAACTAAAAAATGCTCATATTTTGTCCCCAACTGCTGAGGGAAGTCCTTTTCTTCCTTAGTCCTTTTCTTACCACTTTTTGGTGTTCCCTTAGGCCACACCAATTTAATTTCTTGGTTAATGGATTCGCCGCTTCATTTTTTTCTGATTAGAAAATAAAAATAAAAATTCAGAATCAACTGCAAAATGCTCATATTTTGCAGTGAACAGTTGAAAACAGTCCTTTTCATACTTCTTGTTAAAGTCATTCCATCTTTCAATGCAATGGTATCATTAAAAGTTCAAAATCCATTGTCAAAATTTTGAACCAGCCTGGTGTGTTGACTTCATGGCTCCTATCGTACCATTTTGGGCCATAATAGGATGCCTAGGCCTGTTTTATTTTATTTTTTTCGCCCGCCCGCTCCATTATTTTTGTAGAAAAATCCGTTAACCAAGAAATTAAATTGGTGTGGCCTTACATAATTTTCTCCATTGTCACAAGCATTTTAGGAATCCTGTTTTTAGCGACCACCTGTTCATATAGATCTGATTTTATCGGCCTTCTGGGTGACTTTCTTGGCCAGTTTTTACTGTATATGATTACAATAATATAAAATTTAAGAATATCAGATTTAAAACGTAGGTAAACCTCCATAGCTGACTTTACTGCCAACATTTAAATGCTGCCAAAGTGCCTTTTTTTAAAATCCTACTGGTTACATGCAAATTCACACGTATATGTAAGTAGGTAGATTCACTGTGTACAAGGTACATTTACTATGTGCACTGAAGAAAGACTAAACAAATACACATAAGGTGGTGTGTTTTACAAGGTGGCAGTTGTATTCAAATTGCACCAATAGAGGCTGACATTTAGAAGTGGGGTAGTAGTTAAAAGGTTACAAAACAAACTAGCTTACTTTAGAATCTACTGTATTGTCAGTGAAGAAAAATGGTTACAATTTAGTTGACACGTACATGCAAATAACAATACTGAGCCCCAATTTTACCTGCACTAACCTGCATATACCCAGTACATGGACCAGTGCAGGTTAGGTGCAGGTAGACATCAGAAATACCTGCACAGCTCCAATTTTACCTGCACTAACCTGCATATACCCAGTACATGGACCAGCACAGGTTAGGTGCAGGTAGACATCAGAAATACCTGCACAGCTCCAATTTTACCTGCACTAACCTGCATATACCCAGTACATGGACCAGTACAGGTAGACATCAGAAATACCTGCACAGCTCCAATTTTACCTGCACTAACCTACATA